ATAATAAAGCGCAGTCACGGGAGATGTGTTAACAAAGACCTAAAAGCCCTTTTGACAGCTGTAGATTATGTTGAATCATCACTTAGCCTCGAGCGCTAAAGTTTTATGACTCTGGAAAACCGTTAGGACCATTTCAAAGTACGGCAGACAAGGTGAACAGTCAAAATGTGAAATGTAAGTCAGAGTAAAGTCCTTGCCAAAGTAATCCAAAAATAACCACAAAAATGAAACGTTAACATTTACATCAGGCGAGAGCTGAAATGTTTTCATCGCTTTATCACACCGGATTCATGTGTGGGATCCTCACACAACCTCTGAATTAATAAGATGCATCGGGTAAAGGAACATGTTACTTCACATGCTCTCAAACTTTTCAAACTGAGGCCCCCTTATGTCTAAAGAACATACTTAATTGGACGTCTTTGGCTAAAATATTGTCTTTTCGTCATTAGTGAGCTGATATGTTTTTTCATACATCAAACTTGGGGCTGAAAGTAAAGCGTAATATAAATGGCAGTGATGCCACAAGTCAAGTTTGCTTTTAGATTTTTAACAATTAATGTAAAATGCTTGACAGGTGCAGGTGAATAACACATAATAAAGCACAGACATTTCTGACATTGATGTTTTAGCTCAAACGTTTCCAAACTGTAGATATTACACATTTTTTTCATTTGAACAAATGTGCTTATTGTTACTTAAGTTGGTTTCTGTATTGGCTGCCTCCACTGTCTCAACATGATGTGGTTTTGCACCTTCAGAATATGTTTTTTAATAATTCAAGGAACTGTATTGTTTAGGATTTTCCCTGACATATATTTATTTTACTACCTTAACTCACTACCAAACGGGACAATTTGTTTTATGTAATTTACTCAATTAATTGTCAGCATAATCGATAGACTACTCGGTTACTAAAATAATCCTTCACAACAGCCCTAGTTCACACTGTGTTATCTCAACTTCCCACTTATTCATCCATATATGTTTTCAGTCTCTCTTCATTTCAGCTGGTTGCAACCAAAGAAAGGCTCTCTACAAATAAATACCTGAATATTTGAAATTAATTCAAATAATTGACATACTGGCAGGTTGAAATAAGCTGTAATAAATTTTATGATAACTGACATGAATTTGGTTGTAATCTAATCGTAGTACGGCTTTAATGCTGCGCAGCAATATTCCTTTGTGTGACACACAGCAGCCAATAGATGTGACTAGGAATTTAATTGTAAAACAGGGAGTTTTATTCTTATTTGATGTGAAGTCAATCATATGTAACAGTTTTTATGCTATGGTAGAAAAAAAAAGCCAAAAGGTATCATGCATACAGTTTATTTAAATCCAAGATTATTCAGAATCGTGGTACATTAAGGTTAAATGTAATATGTTCACAAGTTTCTTTTAACTGAACAAAATATTGACCTTTTGAAGTGGCCCAGCCAGAGTCCAAACTTCAATCTGATAAGGGACCAATGGGACCTATAGATTAGGGTGATGGCATGGACGCTTTCCAACCTCAAAGATGCTGGGCTCTTCAACAAAGATAACTTCTCAAGATATCAAGCAGCAACATGCAAAACGCTGTTCAATGTGTAAAAAGCAATTGATTACTGCTGTGCCATTTTTTCAAGATTTTTCCATTGATCAAGTATCATCAATATAGTCTTCAGCTGGTTGCAGCCTGAGGAGAGATCCCCATTTTTGAAACAAATATAACATTTTCTTTTAGCTTATTAGCTTTTGTTTGATTACTTACTACCAAAAGCAAATTGGATATAACTTTGTTAAATTAGGTGTATTTTTTAGGCTCTGAGATGTGACTGGACTATTTTCACACCTGCATGGGTAGATAGCGTCAGCAGGTTCCACAAATATGCAATAAGGTAACCTTGCAGAGACCAATAACCCTGCAGAAACCATGTAAATAGTTTAAACTGCTTAAACACATGAAAAGAAAGTGGCAGAACAAAGTTTATTTTGTAAAAAATCTGAAGAAATCTTAAACCTGCACTACAGTCTTTGAGCTTCTACTTGTTCAGCTCAGTGACAGGTGCCGCCATTTATTTATGAATGAAAGAGCAATCCTGTCGCAAACATAGGAAACAACATAATTATCAGCTCTGTGTGCAGAGTTGTGTGCACACCTTGTTGTGTGTGAATAAACCAGCACTTTTCTCAGCGTTTGCTTCAGACTTCACAAAGAGTCGAAACAAATAATAATAAAAAAAAAGTTAACAGACAAAAGTTTCAGCACATCCGCTGCTGCTAAGCTAGCATTCATCAGTAGTAGGAGCGGTTAGATTCATGTCTGCCCTGGTGTGCACCAAGCCGTCGGGCACTCTTCCCTCCTGACCGCTCAGCCATTGCTGGAAAAATATTCATGAATTGGTCACGCTATATTAGGCTGTCACTGGCTTGGGTGATTAATGATTTCAGCACATGTGGATGAGCCACTGACCGACAGCAGCCCGCCAACCACCCAACTGACTGCAAGAACTCTGGACAGGAACGCGGCTGCTGGAACAGGAGCCAAACTCAAATAGGTGTCAGCTTAAACACCCGTAGGCTCTAACCTACATAAACACATGAACACAGACATGCACATCCAAACCCAGCCAGACTGTCATTTTTCTGCTGAATGATCACATGACCAGAGTACAATCAAAGCTGCCCTGTCATTTCCTGGACCGTCTCCGGCTTTCTGCTAATGTATAATTCCAGGATTGTTACCTTCCCCACATTTCCTGACCCGGGTCTTTTCACCTCCACACACAAATGCCAAAAGGCATCCTCTCTGTTTTCATTTCCGTCTTCCCATGGTTTCTCTTATCTACTTCTAATCTCCCTTCATTTTGCTTCTTTTTATTTCATTTCCTTCCCGGTCCACTTCAAGCTTATTGCCACAAAATCAGAAGCTACTCACAGTACCAAACACCTAACCAATGAAAATGAGAAATATATTGTTAATACAGAGACCTGAAAGTCAGAGGGTGCCTAAAAGGTTCATTTGTTGTCACAGACTTTTCAGCTCTCTGAGGCAATAAATGCCACCAATCTAAGACCTTAATAGATGAAGTGACTGATGGGTTCTGTATGAAAAACAAGTACTGGTGTACAGATATAGTGCATGGATGGTTATATGAGTGGGTGGTGTGTCATTTAATTTATTTAATTGTATATTCCATGTAGAGTTGGGCGATGTTGCCAAAAAATATCACGATATATTTTTTAAATACCTCAATAACGATCTCACATGATTTTCCACATTTTCAGCTTTTTCTTTTATACAGTCACTATATTAAAAATATTGACACTTTTAATATAGTGTACACTACAATATTGTATTGTACATACAAATTCACACAATGTCTAAAGCATCAACAAAAACACAAAATAGAAGTGTACCAAATGTTATCATATCACAACAAATCTTGCCAGTATAGGTCAACTAGGACTCCCATAATTATTTCTATTTGCTAAATGTCAAAATCTTTATAGGACTTTCTTCAAATTGAGATGCTTGCAAATGCCATTTCCATGCCACAAACCATTTTGGGAAACTAATTCATGACATTTCGGTTAATGCATGTATTTTAAGGCAGTATGTCCAATAAACATCGATCCTTGTGCGACATCATGGGAAAAAAATAGCTTAGTAATGAGAAAGAGAATTGCGGACAAGTTCACAATTATGACTCTCTTAAGGAAGCCAAATGCCTCGTCATCTAATTAGTGATTTGTCCACAATTCTGGAGACAATTATCAACAATAATTGTCTCCAATAATTTTGTTGATTTTTTCAACAAAAATCTTAATCCCTAACTTCATTTGTGTTTTGTGACAGGATTATATTTTTATACATTTTTTTGTATAAAAATATACAAAAAAATCTTTTCACTACTTGAAAAGAAGAAATGCAAAATCGGAAAATACCCAAGCAATATTCTATTGTACAAAAACCTCTTGGTTTTGTATGCAAATGTTCAGGCTTTTTTTTTTTTTTTTTTTTTTTTTTTACAGCTTGGTGACAAATGGCCTCACAAAAGGTAGTCAGATGGTTGCAACCCACAACCTAGCTCCAAGCTAGTGCTAAATCCTACACACTGTTCTATCGAGCGACCAAACAGCTTTTTTTAATGAAGTAAAGACCAGAAGACATTAAAGGAGGGAGTTAAAAGGCAGAAGAACTGAGTGTGGAGATAGACAGGGTGGGTGTCTCAGAGTAGCTTATTGCCACCTCTGGGCTGTCTGACACATGGCTGATATCTCAAACCTATTTCTTTTCTTCAAAGCCTTCTACTGATTAAAAAAAAAGGGGCTAGCTGGTGCCACAGGGTCACAGTGTCTTTGTCAAGGGAGCTGTAATTACTGAGCGCTGGACCTCAAGAGGGTGGGAACAAACCCAAATTTAATCTTCCTCTCTGTTTACAAAAATAACTTTCATTGGGGAGTTTCACAAGCTTTCAGGTCATTTAGTTAAATATCTTTTAGAATCTAATAAGGGCCTCTGACAAGAAGGCGGTCAGATCACTGCTGGCTACAGCTGCACCCTCCTTTGTCTTAAAGGTTGGTTTTCTGTCGCAGAATGTGAGAGCGTGCGCACACACATTAAAAGATACATCAACCTGACACAGCTAAATGTGTTGTCCTAATTTTAAGAATGACAATGCAGCTGGAGCGGGGAAGTGATTCTGCAGTAAATGTAATTTGTTTTTAAGTGGGCGGACTGCTGTGAGGAAGTTGTGCGGTGTGGCTGTGTGGAGTGCAGCAGCTGCTTCAGAAGAAAGCGAGCCACAGCACCGCGTTTGTTGTCAGATTACAGACGGCGAGCATGCGAGAAGCCCGTGTGTGCTAACATGCGTTGAGGGATAGCAGACATTAGACAAAGAAAGTGTTTGTACTTTGTTGGCAGCTGCAGGGGAGGCAGCTTTGTGAGCCTTCTCTGCAGGTGTGTATGTTTATGTATTTTGTCAGGAAGGTGTGAACGTTGCACTCACAGTCAGCCTGGGCACAGATGAGGCAGGAGGCGGTACTGTTAAAGAATGTAAGAAGGCCGGCCACGGCCAAGCTGATGTCGGTATTCGTTGGTCTCAAGTCCAGAGTTGTGAAGCGGGGGAACTGGACCTTCAGGATGTCCTCTGGAGCCACTTTGACATACGGCACCTGCACGGAGAAGTTGTTGTTAGTTTGCTGTAATTTAGCTATCCGCTGTTGAGAGGCTGTATTTTTCACCTCTAGCACACATGTTGATAAAAAGGAGAAGAAGAAAAAAAGTCTAAAGTATCATCACAAACAAAATGCAGGGTAAAAATAGTCAGCAAGATGCCGGGTGATGATCAAAAGAATGAATAGCTCAGAAGAAAGATGTTACAGCAAATAGGATAAACTGCAAGCAACAATAACCCCAGGGGTCTGTGGTGGTGTGCAAATTCACAATACAGACATTTTTTAAGTTACCAAAGCAGAACTTCAAAACAAGACTGAATGAGGAAACTTATTTTTATTCTCGAGTGCAGACAGGATCTGTGACAACAAATCTTTAGTAAAAAAAAAAGAAGAAAAATCTCCTTCATAAACGTAAAAATAAAACTTTCCGATCTGCTTTTATGAACAATTTAGTAAGACACGCATGCAATTTAGCCAAATATGGTGTAATAACAATAGTTTGATTAGTGGTCCTAGAGGAGGGGATAGTCAAAATGCAGACACAACAACTATTAACCTTTTTTTTTTTATTTCCAAAAGAAGGACTAATTTTAAGGAGCTAATTTTGTGAAACTAGTACAGCCCTGTCACACTCTGCTGTGTCAGCCTTTTGTCTTAATTGTGTTGGAAGACATGGCGCTAAAAATAAACACCTAGATGAACTGTCATACAACTGTGCATCTGTTTGCAGACATTTTTTCAGGTACAGATTGGTGGGTGTGGCCATCAGTAGCTTACTTCCAAAATAGTGGCGTAGCCATAAAACGGCTCATTCTGGAAGGAGCTCCAAACAGGCCGAACTGACCAGGTGAAATGTTGTCATTACAACATTTATTGTTTTTCTTATTTCACTAACTTGTAAACAATTAAGTGTAAACAAGTGAAATATGTTGTTTCCATCCCAGAACCTAATTATTTTTCAGAAGAAAAAGATGGAATAGATATAACATTTTTACGATTGAAGAAAAAAAAATAATAATAATAATTTTGTGGATGTATATATTGGTTTTAAAGAAAAAATCAGCAGGTCTGAGCTGTACAAAATCTGTGATATGAAATTGTCCAAATCTTTGATTGGTGCATGCATTGGTGTAATTTACTAAACTGTAACAATGCAAATAGAAACAAATTATATACATATAAAATGTCAAAGACAAAAAATGTATTTCTCTTTTAATAATATCTATACAAATGGAACATTGCTGAAACAGAGTACATAACGTGTAGTGGATTGCAAGAGTTTCCCCAGACATCAGGAAAAAGATGAGACACAGTGAGAACAAATATAGGCCACGGAAGCTTTGATTAAAAATCAATAAATACATAATTATTCTATCTAAATCCCACTGGGAGGTAAACAATCTTCAGTGCGACAGTCTAAAGCCTTTTCAATTAGGTTATTTAAGAAAGCTGTGTTCCTCGGCTGCCTTTAATAAATTTATCATACAACTCCCACAGCACAAACAGGCATGTTTAATGCTATTCATCTCCCCTGTGAAAACAGAGGTTAAGCACACAACAGTTAACCTTGCAGCCTTACGCATTCCCTGAGCACAGAAACAAAGCCCCAGTAGCGCTACCTACAAATCCTGCTGAAATGCAAACACTTTTTCAATTTATTTCCCATAGATAACATCCGTCTCTGCATGTCGGAGATCAATATGTTTTGTAGGCACAACTCTTAATTCTGGCAACCAAAGAATTTGAAATTAAGAAGTAATCTATACAGCTATAGCTATTATGTGACAAGAATATTCTTTCTTTGTTGGATTCTGTATTCTCCACATTTCTCTTAAGTTTAGTTCAGACATAAAATGCTGTATAACCCGTCTACATTTAGGGTGGGACAAATCTAAGCTCAGGAAACTTCAACTTTTTCTTCTAATCTGCTGGTCAGGAAGAAGATTTCTTTCAAAGCCTTCAAAGTGTTCACTGGAGAACGTCTACAAAACGATCTGCAGACCCCGCGTTTCTGCGTTCCCATGGAGACGTGAAAGTCTCTTGATGAGTCCGCCTGCAGAGGCCTGCTGTAGCAGCCTCTCCATTCCTTGACATGATGGTACTTTCCTCAGTTTGGGCGCTGCTTTGACCAAACCTGACGATCCACTCAGAGTGAGACTGTTCCAACATCTGGACTGAGTTAGGTGTTTTAAGGTTATTATGTTTCTGTTGCATTCTTGCTTAATATTTGTGTAACAGCTGCTACCACAAGGTGTCGCACCTTCCTTACGGCCTGAACGTCCATAAACGAGAAGCTGGCAGGGTTGTGGCCAAGTTTCAATTTCCTGTGTGTCTGACCAGGTTTGTGTTGTTCCCATGTATTCCGTTGTTTGGCGACTGTGGTAGGTTTGGAGAAATACTGTTTCAAATCAATTGTTTTAATAATGTAACAAGCTGATGTGGGATATTTTTTAAGTTGAAGTTTAAGGTAGTGACTTAGGGGATATATAATGTTCCTTATTTACTTGTTGAATCTCAAGTGTGTTGCAAAGACAAGTTTCCTTCAGAGTTCACAAAGCTTCTCCTTGTCTCTTCAGAGCCTCCACTTGGTTTTCAGCGTTGGCTTTAACAGCAGCCAGGAACCAGGAGCTTTTTCTGAGAACATGTGATTTGATGATATGACAGCGGAGAATAAAACGTACACTCTCCTGTAAGTCCTGGACTTTATGCATCATGCCAGAATAAAACACAATTTTATTTTAACATAATTCTGCCTTTTTTTTTTTATTTAACATCAAGTGTACAAAACACACAAAATTCCACGCTGCAAATATTTATTACATAAAAAGGAAGCCTAAGTGCAAATTCAGTGTTTTATATAAACAAATAAATGTCTAGATTTTGAGTTAGCCCATTCAAAACCTTAATTGGTCTCATTGTAAATTATTCTATTGCAGATTTTCTGTATGTTTCTTAAAAATCATTCAGTTTCATTTACATATACAAACAAAATGTATATGTAGATGCATCTGGAAGCAATAAAAAAAAAAAAAAAAAAAAAAAGAAAAACTTTTATTGGTGCATGTGAGGAAACATAGGATGAGGAAGAGTGGACCGTGGGGCAGCAGGTGTCATGTCAGTCAGCTGGTGAGGCGTTTCAGCGGTGCACAGTGGGCCTTGAAGGGGATGTAGGAAGACATGCTGAGTCCAAGAGAAGATACAGAAGAGACAACCTCTTCATCATGGCAGATTGCCTGTCTATGTGTTTCTCAGCATCCATACGTTGCTTTCCCCTTCGCACCTATATGCCCAAGATGGGTTTTAAATTCCTGCCCATCAGGACGTAATGGAGTCTCTGGGTGTGTGGTTGGATGGAGGAGCAGCCAGCTCTAACAGCCATTCGTTCTTCCAAAGGAGTCTTAAAATCGTGGTAATAACTACTCACCACACAGGGGAAATGAGACCCTTTTCAGTCGTGTCCTTATATTCCCTGTCGCATTTCTACAATTTCTCACCATCTCTTGTTCATTTCTTTTCGTTAATACCCCACACTGTTTACTCTTCTTGTCTCCTTTCCAATGCACTCTCCTCCTTTTCAGCACCGCAGGCTGTGGTGCAACACACCTCCTTCCCACTCACAAACCAGACACACTTTGGTGGGCTTTTATCGGTGGGGGTTTAGAAGGTTGTCAACGCAAACGCCGAGATTCACTTATAAACACAGACAGACACATATAGTCTGTCCTCTTCCATCAGCGCGGTCCTCTGGACCCTTTCTGCAAAATACAGCAATATCTCAGGGGAGCTACTCGGCTCCAAGTCAAAATTCCTCATCAAACTCCACAGCATGCAGCCGTGACTCATGGAGGAAAATACCCGATATAACATCCTAATCCTTTCCCCCTGTTATAATTTCTGTAAATGTTTTAATAATGTTTCTTTGTTTTTATGAAAAATCACCAAGTTATCAGAAAATGGAAAAAAACTGCAACCAACTATTTAGAAGGGTCTCAATCACCAATCCTTGGCAAGTTTCCAATGTGAACGCGCTCCAATGTAGCTCATTTAAAATTGCAAACATGTGTCATTTAAAGTTCCACATTAACCCAAAATGTGCATTAGCCAACTTCACAGCAGCAACCCTGTGCATGCCTTCTCGATATGGTGAAAACCCCTTGTTCAAACTGAGTATCAGAAGGGCACAGACGGGCTTTAAATGACTTTGAAAGCGACATGGTTGATGAGAGTCGGACCAACTGGCTTGTGTATCTGTGTCAGGGACAGCTGATCTACCAGGATCATCTTGCACAACTGTCTCTGTAGCAGACAGAAAACAGTAAAAAAAAAAAAAAAGACAGCCGATGCGGAGTGACAGCTGTGTAGATGAAAATGTTTATGTTGAAGGAGAATTGGAAGACTAGTTGGAGATTAGGAAAGGGCAGTAGCTTAAATAACTACTCTTATAATAAATGTAGACAATCTCTGAATATATAACACCACCTTGAAGCAGACAGCAGCAGCTAAGAACACGAGACAGAAAACAGATGGTGCTCACTAAAATTTTAATAGCTTGGGGGAAAAAAAATGTTGACAGGTCCACTAAGTCCTGATCTGATGGTCGGGTCAGAAACTGGCATAAACGGTGTCAAACCATGGACCTGTCCTGCTTTGCAGCTTCTTCTGGTGGTGAAATGTTGCAGGTTCTGTTTTTGTTCCTTCATCCCATTAATATCAAATGAAAGTTGTTTAAACCACAGCCTGCCGTAGTAGGACATTGTCACAACCTGCTGCTGATGACCATATCGCCATCAATAAATTAAGAGCTCAAATTAACACTGGCTTCCAGCTGTGTAATGAAACATGTCATAAAGTTAAACCGATTTGAGCTGAGATGCAAATGAGTTTACTGTAGATGTGTTGCTGGCATCAAAATCTAAACGTGAATAATTGCACACAAAAAAAAACCTATAAAATGCATCCGTTTGAAGATAATATATGTCTTCTTTGTAGTGAAATCA